TTGCCACAATGGAAGCAAAATCCATATGGAGGTTCTTCAATGCCCATCATCTTTTCTGAAATAAATTGGTGCTACCCTGAGCAGATGTGTCTCACTCTCGTGAAAAGACTTATGTTATTAGAATGTCTTATTCTGCAGGCCTCTGAAGTGTTTGAAGATCATCTATCTATTTAAAAATATCTGTTTGACCTTGAAAACATACCTAACATGACTATAAGTTTGATTGTTATAAATGACTAATAACCTGTCTTTCTTTATTATCATTAATAGCTTTCAATGACTAGAACTTTTTATTATTAAATAGGTAATGTAGGTATGATACCTTAAACAAGAGTAGAAACATTTATGGTAAAACAAAAATAAACTTAAATCTGCATCAATATACAAAAATCCATACCAATATAAAATATTTGAGACTAGTAGTTGCTTGTTTAGTTTAAAAGCAGATTCAATAATCTACCCTTATATCCTATTATTCCTATGTGCACCTTCTTTTCAGAATGAATCTGATCTCCTTTGCTTAGTTTCCTCCCTACCCATGACCAATAACAACTTGTAATCATTTCCCCTATGCAAAGATAGGCATCCATAACCCACTCAATGACAAGAACCCACCCACCCCAACTCTTGGGAATGTGAGTATTATGTTCTTAAAATTACTTCCTGCAATCTGAGGGAGATTAGTGACAATTGAGTAGTCACTTTGTTTTGCCCCATATCAGGTGGCTCTTCTGACATGAGATAGACACTTTCAATTTTACTTTAACAAGCATGCTTGGGTTTGGAGAAGGAGAGAGCCATGCTCCAACTCCAAAGCCAGCTTTAAGTTTTATTTGATTTAGGACTACAAAAAGATTATTTGCCATATATGTCTGTAGAGAACAGCAGAAAAAAGCATTTAGGAAGATTTATGCATTTTTTATGTTGGAAATGTGTTATACCATTAAGCCAATTTACTCTTTATCTTGGTACATTTTCACTGGATAATTTGTTCTTCAGATATCTCATTTGTACAGTAGTCTTCAGGTTCCTTGGTTGAATAGTTTTATTCTCTTGGAAAGACAAAAACAAAAGCCAGCCTCAACCCTAACTTTGGGGAGTTTACCTTTTTGGAAGGTTATGTCTGATTAAATTAAAGACATTTGTTAGCCTTATAAGTTAATATAAGTGGAATGGCCATGCAGTTTGATGAACTAATGCCTCTTCTAATCAAGAGGTCGTCCCTATTTGAATCTAATATTTATCAGGCATGGTGGTATCCATAGTTTTTCTTCTCCTGTGGAAACAAAATCAAGACCTCTTCCTCAATATAATATATTCTGAAGTCAACACATCTTTAAAGTATAAAGACTGCTTTAATTCAGCAGGTGTTTTTTTCTACTATCCAATGTCTCTAGGCAATTGTCTTTTTTTCTCATTAGCATTTAAAATTTTAAGTTACTAAAGTATTTTGCAATCTATCTCTGTAGGCCGTTATTACCCCTTTCTGTTTATTAAGCATATCTTTTAAAGTGCAATTAGATCTTTCTGTAATTGCATGTCTTGTAGGATTGTGGTATACCTGTAATATGTTTTATATTGTAATATGCAAAAAATTTTCTTTTATCTAGAGGCATATGATGTAGCACTGTCAGTTTTAATATGTGCAGGTATCCCCTTGATGGCCATGCTTTAATAATTGTGTAATTAAAAATCAGCCTTTTCCAAACTCAAAGATGTTGCCCATTGAAATCCTAAACAAGGATCTATTGTATGGCGCATATAAATTTATTTTTGAAACTCCTCAAAATTACGCACATCTATTTGCAAAATATCATATTTTGAGTACCCTTTGGCTTACTTCCTGCAGGTGGTGCAGTTTTGTTATATGAAGGAAAGTAGGACATTTTCCTATAATTTCTTTGGCTTGTTGGCAAGTGATAGAAAAACTTTTCTTCAAACCTCTGTTATTAACATGTTGTTTCTTGTGAAATTCTAAGGCTTCTAGCACATTTCATACCAATAGCTGATCAATTTCTTCATTACCTTGTACTAGAGGGCATGGTAGACCCGTTTGGGATCTACTATGTGTTATGTAACAAGTATCTACAAGGGGTGATTTCTAGTTCTGATTTTTTCTTGTAATTGAAGAAAGTTAATTCTAAATCATCAAGAATAAGTGCAGCAGTTTCAATATCTAAAACAACACTGCATATTGAGAGTCAGTAACTATATTAAGAGGTTATGGAAAATCTAATAATACTATGAGAGAAGCAGATAATTCTAATTCCTGTACTAAATCATAAAGGCTTTGGGCCATTTTACTAATTTTTCCTGACTTATAACCTGCCTTTCCTGATTTATTTGCATCAGTATAGAATGTAGGAGCTCCAGAATGTGGTGTATCCTATACAATGTGAGGAAAGATCCAATTAATTCATTTTATAAACTGAAGTCTCTTGTTTTGGGGATATTTGTTGCTAATCTCTTCCAAAAAATTACTGCAAGTTTTTTTTACCAGTGTTCGTTTTCTGTCCATAATGAGGCAATTTTAACATTAGTAAAAAGTACCATACTTTCTGCTGGGTCTATTGATAAGTTCCTTGAGTCACATGACTAGCAAGGCCCCTCCCCTGAGAACCTCCAACTAACAGGTTCCATCCACAGAATACTCTAACTGCCCTAACTGGTTGACCCTGCCCCCTTCCTGCAGAGTAAAAAGCTGGTAATTATAAGTAGGCACTGTGAAAGCATCTTTGTCTCTATCCTGTTCTTGTAATGGGAAAGTAAATAATTAGTTGTTTAAATAATTCACTATAGTAGACTACCTTTTAGGTAATAAGGAAGGCAAGGGAATCCCAGGCTGTAAAGAGCCCATTGGCTGATCACCTTATTTATGGCTCTTAAATCTGTTAACATTGTCTATTTTCATTGTGGTAAACAAGGTTATGTGAAAAGGGATTATAGGCAAGGTATTCCTAGAAACAATCTTTTTTTTTTCCTAGAGATAATTCAAACAGAAGGTAACAGCCTTCTGGAATATACAAAAGGTACAGCAAAGACTGAAATTGGACTAATGAATGAAAATCAACAAGGGACAGGCAAAGTAACACTTTGCTATCTGGAAACGCCTTAGAAGGCCACTCACAGGCCCCATTGTCCAATTTTGCTTCATCATTCCCTTTCAGCATTGGTGAAACTCCTCCACAGAGTGCTTAAAAAATCTTATGCCTATTGTTAAAAACCATACTGCTCTGGATGATAGAACAGCTTCAGTAAACAAAACAAGAATTTCAGGAGAGAAAATAACACAGGTATTTTGGCAAACATCTATGAATGATCAAAGACTGAAGCTAAAGACATGAATAAATGGCATTATAGTTTAAGGTTTGTTAGACACAGAAACAGATATAACATTAATTTCACTGAAATCTTGGCATCAAGATTGGCCTTCTCAGAAAGTGAACGTTCAGCTTCTAGGAATTGGAACTTTATCTCAAGTAAAACAAAGCACAAAGTGGGTCAATTGTATAGGGACAGAAGGACAAGTAGGAAAATTAAATCCATGTGTGTAGCTGGAGTTTTTCTGGTCCTGCCTGGCTCACAGTCAGGACAAATCTCTCTCACCCACCAGTCCCACAGCCGCTCAGACCCAACCAAGAAAACACACAGAAACTTATATTACTTATAAACTGTATGGCCATGGTATGTAGATGTAACCAATGGTCTTATTAAATAAGAAACACAGAGCCGATTCAGAGAAGAAAGCCAAGAGGTCAGAGCTAAGAGCCTCACCCTTCCTGATTCAGGGATCCTCTTCAGCCAAGAGAGCTCTCTGAAAAAAAGGGGCTACTTCCTGTGCGTATGTCTTTATATAGTCTAGCTGTTCTGCCTTCTCATTGGTTGTAAACCCAAACATGTGACTGCCTCGTCACTGCCTGAATGTACTGCCCTCCAGGTCCTTAAAGGAGTGCACCACCGCCACCACGCACTTGCTATGGCTCTAATAGCTCTGACCCCCAGGCAACTTTATTTATTAACATACAATTAAAATCACATTTCAGTACAAGTAAAATACCACCACAATGGTAGGCTTCTAGCTAGCTGTTCTTATATCTTAAATTAACCCATTTCTATTAGTCTCTAAGTTGCAACATGGCTCATGGCTTACTGGTGAATGAACACCATATGAAATGATTGCTTCTTTAAATCTCTTAAAATCTAAAACTTCTAGAGGATTCCAGTCAACTTCTCCATTGCCTTGGGGATGCCTATTATTTGGTGGTATTCTTGTATGGAACCTGGGTAAACTAAGGCTGATTTTATAATAACTTTGGGCTGCTCCTCCTTGGTGGTACAGTAGATTCTGCTCTAAATTCCTCTGTCTGTGTCTGAATATTTTTTTTATTTTCATTAGTAATCTTTGTAAGGCTTTTATCTTATCAGTAGTAAGTCTTTTTAAAGCTTGTATGATAAGATCAATAAACTGTTGATAGGCAATGTGCTAGAGGCCTCAGAATTTCATAAAAAAAAAATCATGTCAATAGTAAGGGTTTAAAAAATGATTTTTTTGATAACCTGGCAACAAGCCAAGGAAATTATAAGAAAATGTCCTACTTGTTCTTTTAAAATCAAACTCCACTACCAGAAAGATGTAACCCAAAGAGTACTCAGAAGAATGAAATCTGCAGATGGATGTGTTTCAGTTTGTAGAATTTGGAAAATTGAAATATGTACTCCATACCATTGATACCTATTTAAGATCTCAATGGGCACCTGCTCTGAGTTCTGAAAAGGCTAATTCTATGATCATGCATTTGCTATAAGTTATGGCCATTGTGGGTATATCTGTACAAATTAAAACTGACAATACTCCAGTATATGTCTCTGGTAAAATGAAACAGTTTTTTGCTTATTACAACATAAAGCATATTACAGGTATACCACATAATCCTACAGGCCAAGTCAAACTCTAAAGGATAGGCTAAATAAACAGAAAGGGGTAACAACCCCCTCCGCCCTCCCCCCCCCCCCCCCCCGAAATAGATTACATAATGCTCTTTTAACTTGGAATTTTCTCAGTGCTAATAAGAAATGAACAACTGTGGAGAGACATTGGATAATAGAAAAAAACTACAGAATTAAATCAGTCAATATAATTTAAGGATGTACTGACCTCAGAATGGAAACCAGGATATGTGTTACATTGGGGACAAGGTTTTCTTTTTGTTTCTACAGGAGAAGAAAAGCTATGGATACCATCAAAATTGATAAAGGTTCTATTTGAACAAGAGAGACCTCTTCATTAAAAGAGGTGATGGTTAATCAACCAGCATGACCATTCAATTTAAACTAACTTATACTACTAATGCTTTTCATTTAATCAGGTATAACTTACCAAAAGGAAACCTCCCCAAAGTTAGGATTGGGGAAGGGTTTTTGTTTTTGTCTTTTAGGAGAATGAATGATAAGGAATCTAAAAAGCAGTAGACAAATGAGACATCTGAAGAAAAAGGACAAATAATACAGAAAAAGAAATGTCCCAAGAAAAAGAATAAATTGGCCTATTAGTATATCACATATCTAACAGGATAAAATTTCACAAGTCTTCCTAAATGTTTGTTTCTGCTGTTCTCTACAGACACATAACACAAATGGTCTTTATGTAGTCCCAGTTCAATTAAAAATTAAAGCTGGCTTTGGAGTTGGAGCATGGCTCTTTCCTTCTCTAAACCCAAGCATGCTTGTTAAAAGAAAATGCAAAATCTCTGTATCATGTCAGAAAAGTCACCTGATATGAGACAGAAGAAAAACCAAAATTAATGGACTATTCTACTGCCACTAATCTCATAATTCTTTGGTGGTATTTTGACTCTGTAAAACTTTTCTTAAGGTATGAATATTATATTAAAATTTATAAGATATATATGTTTTAAACCTTTGTCATGATATTAATGGTCACATAGAGTACTAACTAATTCTAGAAAAAAGGCTTCATCAAGCTGCCTGTACATGTTTTCATGTTTGAGTCTCTATCAGTTTTTTGCAGGGAATCATGACCATGCCTAACAGCAAATTTGTAGTCTCCAAAAAGATGATGGGGCTCCACAAAGATGATTCCATCAGGACACACACCACCCAAAGATCAGCTTTAGACAGCAAACTGCTCAGGATAATTTTTAGATGGCTAGCTGAGATGATCCAGCCTCACAGAATACTTGAGTAAGGACTTGAAATAAGCCCTACAATTTTGCATTATGCAGAGACTGAACAACAAATGATACAGCTACCTCTCCCAGGACTTAACAGTTCACTCAAAAATATTCTTTTCAAAAACACCTAAAGATGCCTTTGCCCTCAGACAGCAGGAAGTAATTTTAAGAACACAACACCCACATTCTCAAGATGTGAGGTGGGTGGTTTTTGGTCATCCAATGGGTTATGAATAATTGTCATTGTTTAGAATGGTTAGTTACAAGTTGTTGTTAATGGTCAGGAAAAAGCTAAACAAAACAAATTAGATTCCTGGTTCTTGTTTGAAAAAAAAAAGAGGATTAAAAAAGAGGTAGATTATTGAATCTACTCTAAAAAATATAAATGATAGAATAAAATGTAGATTTTATTAATCTACTCTGAAAAGAAAAAAGAAAGAATATGAATATAATAAGATACAAAGGTAGATTTTTGAATCTGCTTTTAAAAAGCAACTACTAATTTTAAATAATTTGCATTATATTGGATTTTTGTATATTATACACAGATTATGTATATTGCTACAAATTTGAGATTGATTTATATAGATATGATAAGATAAGAAGGTTGATTGTTGAATCTACTTTTAGAAGGCAACTACAAGTTTCAAATATTTTACTTTGGATTGAATTTTTGTATATTGTATACAAATTTTGTATACTGATATAAATTTGAGATTGATTTTGTTAGAAAATACTGTACATATATTTCTAATCTTATTCAAGGTATTGTATCTATACAGTTTATTTAGCAATTTAATGAAATTTTCTAGTCCTTAAAAATTATTGCCAACTATTTAGGACATAAAGAAATGCAGGTTAGTAGTTAGTCATTACAATCAAACTTGTCATATTAGATATGCTTTCACTATCAAACAGAAATATATTTTAGGTAGACAGGTCATCTTCAAATACTTCAGAGATCTACAGAATATGGCATTTTAGATGTTTTAATAACAGATTTTTTTCTTTTTTTTTTTTAATGACAATGAGACTTGTCTGCCCCTGGCAGCACCAATCTACATCAGAGAAGATAATGGTCATTGAAGAAACTCCATATAGAGCTTACTTTCATTGTGGCAAAAGTTAGCCACTGGGCAAGAAAATACCCTTGCATTGGCTGCACTGCTGACAGTATGCTGTCCAAAATGGACAAGCAGAACACAAAAGAAAGGACTTCTGATCTTTGCCAAGACAAGATAGGAAGGTTCTTTAGAAAATCTTGCTTCACAGATGAGTCTGTCAGATATACTAGGCCTGTAGGCCAAAGATGGGTGCCCCAATGTTGCAGAGAAACCTCGGTAACTGTCCAGGCAGCCAGCTCTTTCTGTCAAAACTGACATTTTTGGGAAGTCACTTGTTTGCACTTTCTGTTTAACTAGGTAATATTATTTCCTTCTCAGGTCTTTGAGGGAGTTGAAGATTAGATAGTTATAGCTTTCTTTGTTAAGAAATTCAGTAAAGAAAGTCACTAAAGAGGTATAAAGTGTATAAGTTGGAAAGACATCAAAAGATAGTTTTTGGTTGGTAATACAAGTTAGGATAGAAAGTGAATTAGGTACATTTTGGACTCACCAAGATAGGATAGATAGCTGGGTGGTGGTGGTGCACACCTTTAATCCCAGCACTTGGGAGGCAGAGGCAGGAGGATCTCTGTGAGTTTGAGGCCAGCCTGGGCTACAGAATGAGTTCCAGGACAGGCTCCAAAGTCACAGAGAGAAACCATGTCTCAAAAAACCAAAAAAAAGAAAGAATGATATGATAGACAATGGAATAATTCTGCTTAACTTGTCAAATGCAAATGGAATAATTTTGCTGAGTTTGTCAAATGCAAATGGACTAGACATTGTTTATGTATTTATTGCCTGTATATATTATATATAGTTATTGTACTTATTGTATATAGTTTTTCTTATATTAGTTATAACTTTTTTATTTTAGACAAAAAAGAGGAAATGTGGTGGTATTTTGTTTGTGCACCCCAATAACGTTTATATGGGGATCAGAGGAATAAGCCAGCCACCATATTAAACATAGAAGCCAGGCAGTGGTAGTATAGGCCTTTATTCCTAGCATTCAGGAGGCAGAGATTCATCCAGATCTCTGTGAGTTCAAGGCCATACTTGGAACAGAGCAAGTGCTAGTTAACCATAGAGGTCTGGAGGTCTAGACAGACAAACAGGAAGTGATAGAGCTGGATGGAAAGATGAAGTGATGAAGCTGGGCAGAAAGAAGAAGTAAGATGGCAGGGCACAGAAAGGTTTACAGACATGAATATACAGGAAGTGGCTCTCTCTGGAGGCTGAGGAGTTGGTATGGTGACGTTGGCTGTGGCTTGTTCTATTCCTCTGATCCTTCAGTTTTCATCACAATATCTGGCTCCAGGTTTTTTATTAATAAAACTGTTTAGCAGTTTGTCTTACAGAACAGGAACTATAGATGCAAGCATAACCAAAGGAATACAAGAGATGGAAGAAAGGATCTCTGGCTTAGAGGATACAATAGAGGAAATAGATTTGTCAGTCAAAGAAGACACCAAAGCCAAAAAAGTCATAACAAAAAACATCCAGGAAATCTGTGACACCATGAAAAGGCCAAACCTAAGAATAATAGGGATAGATGAAGGAGAAGAGTACCAACTCAAAGGCACAGAAAATATGTTCAACAAAATCATGGAAGAAAACTTTCCCAACTTAAAAAAGGAAATACCTATGAAGATACAAGAAGCTTATAGAACACCAAATAGACTATACCCCCAAAAGAGTCCCCTTGCCACATAATAATTAAGCCACTAAACATACAGAATAAAGGAAGAATATTAAGAGCAGCAAAGGAAAAATGCCAAGTGACTTATAAAGGCAGGCCTATCAGAATAACACCCAAATTCTCAATGGAGACTCTGAAAGCCAGAAGGTCCTGGACAGATGTAATGCAGACACTAAGAAACCACGGATGCCAGCCCAGACTGCTATACCCAGCAAAACTTTCAATCACCATAGACACAGTAAATAAGACATTCCAAGACACAACCAGATTTAAACAATAGCTATCCACAAATAAAGCCCTATGGAAGGCACTAGAAGGAAAACTCCAACATAAGGAAGTCAAATGCAACCACAAAAACACAGGCAATGGATAACGCCACATCAGCAAATCCCAAAGAAGGGAAATACATGCACACTATCACCAAAAGATAACAGGAATTAACAAACACTGGTCACTAATAGCCCATAATATCAATGGGCGCAATACACCTATAAAAAGATACAGGCTAACAGAATGAATACAAAATCAGGATCCATCCTTCTGCTGCATACAAGAAACATACCTCAACTTCAAAGACAGACACTACCTCAGAGTAAAAGGCTGGGAAAAGACTTTCCTATCAAATGGACTTAAAAAGCAAGTTGGTATAGCTATCCTAATATCTAACAAAGTAGATTTCAAACTAAAATCAATCAAAAGAGATTGGGAAGGACATTACATACTCATCACAGGAAAGCTCCACCAAGATGAAGTCTCAATTCTAAACATTTATGCCCCAAATACAAGGACACCCACACATGTAAAGGAAACATTACTAAAGCTTAAATCACACATCAAACCCCACACATTAATAGTGGGAGACTTGAACACCCCACTCTCAACAATGGACAGATCTGCCAGACAGAAACTTAACATAGAAATAAGGTATCTAACAGATGTTATGTGCTGCAAGCTGCAGGAAAATGTATTGGAATCCAGACGCTATCACAAAAGCTACTACTTGGAAAGGTCAAGGACATTTCTGAAGGTCAATCCATGGCTTAAGAAGTTTTGGTGATATTTTAGCATATATATATATAGCTGGTTTCTACAATGATTTTCTGGTATGCTGTGTATGCTTCCAAGAACTTCAAATAGTATATTTTTTCTGAAATACCTATCAAACCTCCAAGGCCAAATGATCTCCTGAATTAAGGTAAATTAAGCTCAGGCCCTCTTTTCTTCATAGCCTTAGTGACATTTATACTAACATTATAGATTCCTAACATTTACCTAAGCACCTCTAGGAATGTGGATTGAGCACATAAATTCTCTTTTTCTGATATATTAACTGATTTTAGCTCTCAACTGACCTCCTCCTTTACCACTCCATTTTAAGTTGCAAAAGAAAGTCTGATGGCCACTGTCTGAGGAAAACTCTTGTCTATCTTTATGACCCTTTAAGAATTCAAGCCTGGTGACCTTGCTTTGGCTAAAGCACTGCTATTGCATGGGTATATAATTGTAAACCTAAGAGATTTAGAGAGGATTTTTGAGGATATGAACTGGAGAAGATTTTGACTGGGGAACTGCGGTGGTATTTTACTTGTACTGAAATGTGATTTTAATTGTATGTTAATAAATAAAGTTGTCTGGGGGTCAGAGCTATTAGAGCCATAGCAAGTGCATGGCGATGGTGGCACACGCCTTTAAGGACCTGGAGGGTGGTACATTCAGGCAGTGATGAGGCAGTCACATGTTTGGGTTTACAACCAATGAGAAGGCAGAACAGGAAGATTTTAAAGACATACACACAGGAAGTAGGTCCCTTTCGGAGAGCTCTCTTGGCTGAAGAGGATCCCTGAATCAGGAAGGGTGAGGCTCTTAGCTCTGACCTCTTGGCTTTCTTCTCTGAATTGGCTCTGTGTTTCTTATTTAATAAGACCGTTGGTTACATCTACATTTGGGCCCAACGTGACAAGAATCCATTAAAAACCTGCTTAACTTGGCTTGGCGGCAGGTCTGGTCTCCCGCCAGGGCGGCCAGCAGGTCACGTTTCCCACCAGGGCGGCCGGCTCCCTAGCCCGGGCCCAGGTCAGCTTGGCCTCAGGCCGGACTTACTTTGAGCTACTTGCTTAAAGCCGGTGCTACAGACAATTCAGGCCTGCCCTGCCGAACAGGGCCCCTGCCTGTAAAGCCAACGCACGTGGTTGGATCTTAAGGTAGCCAGAGCCAAGGCTTGACTAGGCTCAAGCGGGAACACGTGGCTGGACTCAAGCTCTTAGGCAGAACTTGCTGCTACGGTTCTTGGTGTTCTCTCTCTCTCTCTCTCTCTCTCTCTCTCTCTCTCTCTCTCTCTCTCTGGATTCACACCTCGGACACTAGGTGGCTGTTTGGAAATTCACTCGGATTGGTACTGTTCTATGAGGACTTGGTAAGTCACTTAACATATTGAATATTTTAAAGGAAACTATTTAAAAGAGAAATTTTTTTCCACATTTTAAAAAAAATGGGTTTTCTGTGTTCATTGGAAGAAAATTGGGCTTTGTTTGCAATTTTAGACAGTCTGACAATGGAGCAGCTATATGAGAAGATTAATGTTGACCGAATTATACATTTTATTACTATGCTTATTCTCATTTTACTATTTAAAAAGATAGTCAATTTAAGTGCCAGGATGACAGCTTTAGAAAAACTTGATAAACCTGTAAAAACTCAGACAGAAGAAACTAACAGTGAAGTTGCTTCAAGATTGGATCATAGGGTTACAGAAAGAAAGCCTGTTTTCACACAGTCACCCTTAGTTTGTCCAGTAACTGTACAACAGTTGACTGATCAAATGACTACACAAAATATTTGGGCTCCAATTGAAATGTTAGATTTACGAAGGTTTAAGGAGGCAATAGTATCTTATGGCATGCATTCCCCATATGTAAAGCAAATGTTAAACTCTTGGTCAACATATAATAGGATTGTACCACAGGACTGGCAGGAGCTGGCACAAGCTGTTCTTGAACCCAGTCAAAGGCTTCAGTGGCTAACTTGGTTCAAGGATGAAGCTAAAAACATAGAGAAAAAGTGGAGGGATAAAGGAATACAAGTCTGCCAGGATCAGCTTATTGGAGAAGGTCAATATGCTTCAGCACAAACACAATGTTTATATGATGTCCAAACCCTAATTTTATGTCAAACAGCAGCCTTGAATGCATGGGACAGAGTTGAGGAACCAGGAAAAAAAACTGAGTCATTTACAAAGGTTGTACAAGGCCCAAAAGAATCTTTCACAGATTTTTTACAGAGACTGGCTTCAGCAGTAAAGAGAATGGTCCCGGATTCAGAAGCTAGTAAGATAATAATTGAATCTTTGGCCTTTGAGAATGCGAATGCAGCATGCAAAACAATAATCAGGCCGTTAAAGGCAAGATCTGCACCTTTGGAAGATTGAATTAGAGACATGGTTAATGTTGAAGCTCATGAGCATGATGATACGTGGGTAGGAGAAGCAATTTCAAAAGGTTTGAGGAATGTTAGATGTTTTGGATGTGGAAAGCAAGGACATTTGAAAAGGGACTGTAAACAGGTCATTCCTAGAAACAATGTTTCTTCAAGGAACAATGGCAACAGAATGCCCCTTCCTTCTGGAGTATGCAGAAGGTGTGGTAAGGGAAAACACTGGACCAACGAGTGTAGATCAACAAGGGACAGACAGGGTAACCCCTTGCCTCAGTCTTTGGGAAACTCCTAGAGGGGACTCATGCAGGCCCCAATAGCAAATCCAGTTCAAACCTTTCCTGCAGTCGTAGAGGAAACCCCTACTCAGAGCAATTAAATAACCAAATGCCTATTGGAATAAGTCATGCTGGTCAGGATGATGAAACAGAGAGAATAGAAAATTCAGGAGAAAACATAAAGAAAAATTTTTGGCAAACTTCTATTAATGAACAAAGACCAAAATTATCGATAAAAATAAATGGTGTTTTGTTGTCTGGTCTGGTAGACACAGGTGCGGACGTTACCATAATTGCACCAGAATTTTGGCATCCAACTTGGCCTCTTCAGGAGGTAAACATTCAACTGTTAGGAATTGGGACATTATCTCAGGTGAAACAGAGTGCAAGATGGCTCGAATGTATAGGTCCAGAAGGACAGAGAGCAAAATTAAAACCATATGTGGCTAACATAGCTCTGAACCTGTGGGGTTGAGACTTGTTACAACAATGGAATACTCAGATTAACATTCCTCCAATCTCAGAAACAAATCATAAACTAGCACATGTTTCTGAGAGAAATATTAGAAGGCATTATTCTGAGTGGTCACCAGCCATCCATATTATACAAGAACAGGGCACAACAACTGATGATCTTCCAAAAACAACAACAGCTCTACCTTTAAAATGGTGAACAGACAAGCCTGTATGGGTCCAGCAATGGCCTTTAAAAACAGAGAAACTCCAGGCTTTAGAAGAGCTGGTAGAAGAACAGTTAAATGCTCAGCATATTGAAGAATCAACCAGGCCTTGGAATTCTCCTGTATTTGTTATTAAGAAGAAATCTGGTAAATGGAGAATGGTAACAGACCTTAGAGCAATTAACAAAGTAATTCAGCCAATGGGCTCTTTACAATCTGGAATTCCATTGCCTACTCTGTTACCAAAAGGATGGCCTCTCATTAGTTATTGATTTAAAAGACTGTTTCTTTTCAATACCCTTACAAGAAAAAGACAGAGAAAGATTTGCTTTCACAGTGCCTACTTATATTAATTCTCAACCGGTTAAAAGATTTCAATACAGGGTCCTCCCACAGGGAATGCTGAATAGCCCAACTCTGTGCCAATATTTTGTACAACAGCCATTGGAAGTGATATGTAAAAAATTTCCTAAATCTATAATTTATCATTATATGGATGATATTTTACTAGCTGACTCAAATGCACATACTTTAGAAAGAATGTTTGAAGAAGTAAAGAAAATTTTGCCTTGCTGGGGATTACAAATTGCTCCTGAAAAGATCCAAAGAGGAGATTCTATTAATTATTTAGGATATAAAATAGAACTACAAAAAATTAGACCCCAAAAGGTGCAAATTAGGAGAGATAGACTACAGACTCTTAATGACTTTCAAAGATTATTTGGAGATATTTCTCATCTACGAACTATTGTTGGGGTAAAAAATGATGAACTGCATAATTTGTTCAAAACCTTAGAAGGTGACAAGGACTTAAATAGCCCAAGAGAATTATCACCTGAAGCTGAGAAAGAATTGGCCTTGGTAGAAAAGAAAGTACATGAAGGACACGTGGATCGTATTGATCCAAAGCTGGATTGCATTTTGGTTATTTTACCTTCTAGGCATTCTCCTACAGGAATATTAATGCAGAGGGAAGATATGTTAGAATGGACATTTTTACCAAATAAACCAAATAAAAAATTAAAAACTTATGTGGAAAAAATCTCTGACTTGATTTGGAAAGGAAAATTGAGACTTCGTCAATTAGCAGGAATAGACCCAGCAGAAATTGTACCTTTAACTAAGGAGGACATTGAAAAATTATGGACAGAAAGTGAACCTTGGCAAAGAGCTTGCAGTATTTTTTGGGAGAAATTAACAGCAAATATCCCCAAAGTGATAGAATTCATCTTATAAAGAGAACTGATTGGATCTTGCCTCGAATTGTACGGGAAAAACCCATATCTGGAGTTCGTACATTTTATACAGATGCCAACAAACAAGGAAAGGCAGGTTACAAATCAGAAAATTTAAGTAAAGTGGTTCAAAGTCCTTATAATTCAGTTCAGAAATCAGAATTGTATGCTATTCTGTTGGTATTAATGGATTTTTCAGAACCTCTCAACATAGTAACTGACTCTCAGTATGCTGAAAGAGTAGCATTACATATTGAGACTGCAGAATTTATCCCTGATGCTTCAGATTTAACTTCACTATTTATTCAATTCCAAGATACAATAAGGAAAAGGAGTCATCCTTTATATATAACTCACATTCGATCCCATACTGGTCTACCAGGCCCTCTAGCACAAGGCAATGATGAGCTTGATAAATTATTGATAGGAAATGTGCTGGAGGCCTCAGAATTTCATAAAAAACATCATGTCAATAGTAAAGGCTTAAAAAAGGATTTTTCCATAACCTGGCAACAAGCCAAAGAAATAGTAAAGAAATGTCCTACTTGTTCCTTCTACAATCAAACGCCATTAACAGCTGGATGTAACCCAAAAGGTACTCAAAGGAATGAAATCTGGCAGATGGACGTGTTTCACTTTTGAGAATTTGGAAAACTGAAATATGTACACCACACTATTGATACTTATTCAGGATTTCAGTGGGCAACTGCTTTGAGTTCTGAAAAAGCTGATTCTGTAATCACTCATTTGCTAGAAGTTATGGCCATCATGGGTATACCTGCACAAATCAAAACTGATAATGCTCCATCATATGTCTCTGTTAAAATGAAACAGTTTTTTGCTTATTACAATATAAAGCATATTACAGGCATTCCACATAATCCTACAGGTCAAGCAGTTACAGAAATATCAAAAAGAACTCTAAAGGATATGCTAAATAAACAGAAAGGGGTAACAAAACCCCCCAGAAACAGACTGCATAATGCTCTATTAACTTTGAATTTTCTTAATGCCAATGAGAAAGGAACAACAGCTGCAGAGAGACATTGGATAATAGAAAAAAACTACAGAATTAAATCAGCCTATATACTTTAAGGATGTGCTGACCTCAGAATGGAAACCAGGGTATGTGTTACGTTGGGGACGAGGTTTGGCTTTTGTTTCTACAGGAGAAGATAAGTTGTAGGTACCATCAAAATTGATAAAGGTTTGATTTGAACAAGAGAAACTTCTTAATTAGAGGAGGTGATAGTTCTTCAACCAGCATGAACATCCAATTTAAACTAACTTATACCAGTAACACATGTCTTTTCATTTAATCAGATAATAACTTGCCAAAAAGGAACATCCCCAAAATTAGTCTTGGGGAAAGGTTTTTGTTTTTGTCTTTTAGGACAATGAAGGTTAAGGAATCTGAAGAACACTGGACAAATGAGACAACTGAAGAAAAGGGACAAATCATCTATCCCAGGAAACAGAGTGAAACGGCGTATGGGTATATATTATCTAAAAAATTTTATGTCTTCCTAAATGTTTGTTTCTGCTTTTCTCTAAAGATTTAACACTATTGGTCTTCTAATAGTCCCAGTTAAATTAAAAATTAAAGCTGACTTTGGAGTTGGAGAATGGCTCTCTCCTTCTTTAAACTCAAGCATGTTGTTAAAAGGAAAATGCAAACTCCCTGTATCATGCCAGAATAAAAGAGCCATCTTCTGCTATGGGACAGGAAAAAAGCCAAATTAATTAAGGGACTATTCTATTACTAATCTGAACTCTTTGATTCTATTCTGATTCTTTAAAACTTTTCTTAAAGTATAAATTTTATATCAAAATTTACAAGATTAATATGTATAGATATATAGTTATATATACATTTTAAACTTTAAGATATGAATGGTCATATAGAGTACTAATTAATTCTAGAAAAAAGGCTTCAATTAGCTGCATATATATGTCTTTGTGTTCGAGTCTCTTATCAGTTTTCTGCAGGAAATCACGGCCAGGCCTAACATCAACTGAAGTCTCCAGGAAGAAGTTGGGGCCCCACAACAACAACAATTCCACATGGACAATAATAACATCATTAAGCTGACAAACATCATCTACAGATCAGCTTTGAACTACAAGGTGCTCAGAGCAATTTTGAGATGACTACCTGAGATGATCCAGTCTCAAAGACTACTTGAATAAGGACTTGAGATAAACCCTGAACTTTGGCATTATACACAGACTGGATAATGAAGGATATGGTTACCTTTCCTAGAATTTGACAATTAACCTAAAATTTTTCTTTCAGGATAAAGATACCTTCTCCCATACCCAGCAGGAAGCAATTTTAAGAATACGACACCCACATTCCCAAAGAGGTGGTGTGGGGCAGGTGGCTTTTTGGTCTTTTTAATGGGTTTTGGGTCTGGGATAATTTTCATTGTTTAGGGGGTTGGTTACAAGTTGTTGTCAAGGGTTAGGAAAAAGGCTAAGCAAAGAAGATTAGATTTAAGGTTCTTGTTTAAAAAAAAAGAGAGAAAGAAAGAAAGAAGAAGAAAAAGACAATTACTAGTTTTAAATACTTTATTTTGGATTGGATTGTTTTATATTGTATACAAATTATATATATTGAAATTGATAGTGTCAGAAAATGCTATATGTATATTTTTAATTGTACTTATACCATTCATTTAACAATGCAATTTTCTGATCCTTGAATGTTATTATTACCAACTATTAGGATATAAAGAAATGAAAGTTAGTAGTTAGACATTACAATAGAACTTGTAGTCATATTAGATATGTTTTAAAAATTGAGCAGATATATTTTAGACAGGTCATCTTCAAACCCTTCAGAGATCTACAGAATATGGCATTTAAAATGTTTTAATAACTTAGAAAATTTTTCTTTTTTGTTATGACTATGAGACATGTCGGCTCCTGGCAGTACCAATCTACTTCAGAGAAAATATGGGCATTGAAGAAACTGCATATGGAGTTAACTTTCATTGTGGCAAAAGTTAGCCACTGGACAACAAAGTATCCTTGAATCAACTGCTGACAAAATGGACAGACAGGACATGAAACAAAGGACTACTGATTCTTGCCAAAACAAGTGTGGTTATGGCTTTATCAAAAGGCATCTTCTGAGGCCAGGACAATATGGCACCATCCCTGAAATGGCCTTCGCAATTCGGAAAAGGTACAGTGCCCTTTTCTTCGAAGGCAGCTGAATAGGCAGTGGGCCGATGGCTTCTGATGTGCAATGGAACAGCAGCTGAAACAGTTATTCTTGAAGAGTAACTAAGCTCACGCCTCTCAATAGTAAACTGGCATTTGACAGAGGGATGTGGAGAAGAACGGGATGCTGAGATGAAGCCATATATACACAGCCAAGAAGAATGGACAGTTGAATTAAAAAACCATCAACAATTTCCAGAATTTAAAATCCTGAATCATGACATGACACTAGTGGAATTCAGGTGTTTCTGGTACATGGACTGCTCTCACCCAATGTGAGGTTGAACTGTTGACCTTGTGTACATCCTACTTCACAAATGAGTCTGTCAGATATGCTAAGCCTATAGGCTGAAGATGATGCCCCAGCATTGCGGAGAAACCTCAGGTGACTGTCCAGGCAGCTGGCTGTTTCTGTCAACTCACAAATTTTTTGGAAGTTGCTGGCATGCACTTTCTGTTTTTATTTTTGTTAGCTAATATTATTTCCTTCTTGGGTCTCTGAGGGAGTTGAAGATTAGTTAGTTATAGTTGAAGGTTAGTTAGTTATAGTTGAAGATTAATTAGGATAGAAAGTGAATTAGATACATTTTGGACTTAACAAAATAGGATAGATAATGAAATTATTTTCTCTGAATTTGTCAAATACAAATGGACTAGACATTGTTTAGACATTTATTACTTGTATATATTGTGTATAGTCATTGTACTTTTGTATATAGTTTTTCTTTTGTTAGTTATAACCTTTTTCTTTTTTTTTCCTTTTTATTAAAATAGAAAAGGGGAAATGTGGTGATATTTTACTTGTACTGAAATGTGATTTTAATTGTATGTTAATAAATAAAGTTGTCTGGGGGTCAGAGCTATTAGAGCCATAGCAAGTGCATCCGGTGGTGGCACACGCCTTTAAGGACCTGGAGGGCGGTACATTCAGGCAGTGACGAGGCAGTCACGTGTTTGGGTTTACAACCTATGAGAAGGCAGAACAGCTAGACTATGTAAAGACATACACACAGGAAGTAGGCCCTTTTTTGAGAGCTCTCTTGGCTGAAGAGGATCACTGAATCAGGAAGGGTGAGGCTCTTAGCTCTGACCTCTTGACTTTCTTCTCTGAATCAGCTCTGTGTTTCTTATTTATTAAGACAGTTGGTTATATCTACACTTCTCAGTAGTAAAAAACAATGACATAATGAAATTTGCAGGCAAATGGATGGAACTAGAAAATGTGCTGAGTGAGGTAACCTAGACTCAGAAGGACAAGCATGGTGTACTCACTCATAAATGGATATTAGATGTAAAGCAAAGGATAACCAGACTACAACCCATAGCTCCAGAGAAGCTAGCTAACAAAGAGGACACAAAAAGAATGTATGGATCTCCTTGGGAAGAAAAAATAGATGAAATTTCCATGAGTAAACTGGGGATGAGGGGTGGTAATGGAGGGTAGAGGATGGGGGATGAGAACATAAGGGGACAGGATGGTCGAGTTGGAACACGGATAGAATGGGAGAGCAATGAAAGAGATACCATGATAGAAGGAGACATCATGGGGATAGGGAGAAACTGGGTACTATGGTATCTCCAAGGAATCCACAATTATGACCCCAGCTTAGACTACTAGCAATAGTTGAGAGGGTGCCTGAACTGGCTTACCCCAGTAATCAGATCTGTGAATACCCTAAATACCAAGAGTCATCATAGAGACTTTGTCCAGTAACTGATGGAAGCAGATGCAGAGATCCACAGCCAAACTCCAGGCTAAGCACGAGGAGTCCAATCGAAGAGAGAGAAGAGGGATTCAATGAGCAAGATCATTGTAGATGTAACCAACCATCTTATTAAATAAGTAACACAGAACCAATGCAAAGAAGAAAGCCAAGAGATCAGAGCTAAGGGCCTTACCCATCTGCTGCAGCTAGCCTCTTCATCCAAGAGAGACCTACTTCCTGTGTGTTAGCTTTATATAGACTTTCTGTTCTGCCTTCTCATTGGTTGTAAACCCAACCACATGACCACCTCATCACTACCTGTTTGTACAGACCTCCAGGTCTTCTATGGTTGGTATTGAGAATAAAGGCGTGTGTATCCAGTGCTGGCTGTATCCCTGAACACACAGAGACCTACCTAGCTCTGCCTACCAAGTGCTGGGATTAAAGGTGTGTGCCATGAACACCCAGCTCTGCTATGGCTTGCTATTAGCTCTGACCCTCAGGCAACTTTATTTATTAACATACAAATAAAATCACATTTCAGTACAAATAAAATATCACCATAGATCATCATGGGGAAACATACAGAGACAACCAAACCAAAGTAGTGAAAACTCATGACATTTATACCAACACCTGTGGAGCCTCCATGGGACTGGACTAGGACCTCTGCATAAGTGAGACAGTTGTGTAATGGGGCTTATGGGGCTTCCTGGCAGTAGAATCAGCATTCATCCCTGGTGCATGAGCTGGCTTTTTGGAACCCACTACCTATGGGGGGGACAACTTGTACAGCCCTGAGGCAGGTGGAGGGGCTTGGTCCTGCCTCTACTCAATGTACCACTCTCTGCTGACTCCCTATAGGAAGACTTACCTTCTTATAAGAGGGAATGGAGGGTGTGTTGGGGAGGAAGGCAGTTGAGGCAGTGCTAAGATCCTTCCCTCTTTATCAGAAATGAGCAAAGTGTCCAACCATAGGTAATGGGATCCAGAAAGCCAGCTCATGCTCCAGGGATAGATCCTGATCACACTGCCAGGGTCCCTTCAAACAGACCCAGCTACACAACTGTCTCCTATATGCAGAGGTATAGTCTGGTCCCATGCAGGTTCCACAGCTGTTGGCCTAAAATTTGTGAGTTCCTTGGAGCTTGCTTCAGTTGTCTCTGTAGATTTCCCCATCATGATCTTGACCCCTCTTGCTCATATAATCCCTCTTCCCTCTCTTTGACTGGACTCCCAGAACTTGGCCTGGTGCTTGGTTGTGGATCTCTGTATCTGCTTCCATCAGTTACTGGATGAAGGTTCTATGATGACAGTTAGGGTATTCACCAATCCAATTACCAGGGTAGGTCAGTTCAGGCACCCTCACCATTATTGCTAGTAGTCTAATCTGGAGTCATCCTTGTGGATTCCTGGGGATTTTCCTAGTACTAGGTTTCTCCCTAAGACCATAATATCTCCCTTTATCAAGATATCTCTTCCATTGCCCTCCCACTCCATCCCTCTCCCAGCTTGACCATCCCATTACTTCATGTTCTAATCCCCCATCCCCTACCTACTATTGCATTTCTCCTCATCCCCAGTTTCCTCATTGGAATCTCCTCTGTTTCCCCTTCCCAAGGTGATCCATATATCCCTCTTAGGGTCTTCCTTGTTTCCTAGCTTCTCTGGAGTTGTAGTCTGATTATCCTTTGCTTTATAACTAGTATCCTTTTATGAGTGAATACATATCATGTTTGTCTTTCTGAATCTGGGTAACCTCACTCAGGATGATATTTTCTAGTTCCATCCATTTGCCTGCAAATTTCTTGATGCCATTGTTTTTTTAACAGATGAGTAATACTCCATTGTGTATACATATCACATTTTCTTTATCCATTCTTTGGTTGAGGGGCATCTAGGTTGCTTCCAGTTTCTGGCTATTACAAATAATGCTGCTATGAACATAGTTGTGCAAGTGTCTTTGTGGTATGATTGAGCATCCCTTGGGTATATGCCCAAGAGTGGTATCATTAATTCTTGAGGTAGATTGATTCCCAATTTTCTGAGAAACTGCCATACTGGTTTCCACAGTGGCTGTACAAGTTTGCACTCCCACCAACAATGGAGGAGTGTTCTAGGGGTTGTTTCTTCCCTTGTATAGGGCATAGGGAAGGAGAGCTATCCAGTCACCTCCAGTTTCTAGGGTTAATGTAGTTAAGGTCTCCTTTGAAGTCCAATTCATATGTTCTACTTGTCCCGAACTTTGGGGACTGTATGCACAATGGAGTTTCCAATCTATCTCTGTAACCTTAACATGTGACTATATCACCTCAGAGATGAAGTCAGGTCCATTGTTGGATCCCAATAATGTAATACCTGAGAGAGGTGATGTATCTTGGATTCATATTCAAGGGCTAATATCTGTTATCCCAGGATCAGAAAGAGACAATTCTTAATATCCTAACCCCTAAGACAAGGAGGCAAATTTGGGAGTTCTTGGGGTCAGCAGGATTTTGTAGGCTCTGGGTACTAGGATTTACAGAAATTGCTAAGCACCCATCTATGAGACCACTAGAGGGCAGGGACACTCTTTTAATTGGACTCCTAAAATGGATGAGGCTTTCCATAAACTAAAGGAGGCCCTCCTAAGGCCCTAGTCTTGGCCCTGCCAGATATCTGCAAACTATGGTGATATTTTATTTGTACTAAAATGTTATTTGTATGTTAATAAATAAAGTTTCCCGGGGGTCAGAGCTATTAGCAAGCCATAGGAAAGCTGGGGGGTGGTGGTGCATGCCTTTAATCCCAGCACTTGATAGGGAGAGTTAGGTAGGTCTCTGTGTGTTCAGGGATACAGCCAGCATTGGATACACACGCCTTTAATCTCAATACCAACCATAGAAGACCTGGAGGTCTGTACAAACAGGTAGTGATGAGGTGGTCATGTGGTTGGGTTTACAACCAATGAGAAGACAGAACCGAAAGTCTTTATAAAGACTTTAACACAGGAAGTAGCTCTCTTTCGGAGAGGTAGGACCAGGAGGAAGGGTAAGTTTTTAGCTCTTAGCTCTGACCTCTTGGCTTTCTTCTTTGCATTGGTTCTGTGTTTCTTATTTAATAAGATGGTTGGTTACATCTACAGCAAACCCTCTCACTTACATGTGGATGAGAACAAGGGCATAGCTAAAGGGGTATTAACACAAACTCTGGGCCCCTGGAAGAGACCAATGGCTTATTTGTCTAAGAAACTGGACCCAATAGCCCAAGGATGGCCAGCCTGCCTTTGCATTATTGGCAGCCACTGCATCATTAGTTAAGGATGCAGACAAAATCATCATAGGACAAAAACTTATCATTGCCACCCCACATGCCATCAAGAGGATTCTTAAAAACCCCCCATATCAGTGGATATCCAATGCTCAGTTAGCCCATTGCCAGGCACTGCTCCTGAATCCACCCAGGATCCGACACAGCTTTTCTGTCCTTAACCTAGCCACCCTCTTGCCTGACCCTGACTTGGATGTAAATCATGACTTCGTGGTGGTGCTGAGTCAAGTTCAAAGCTGGAGGCCAGTGTTGACAGACATCCCATGGCCCAACACTAAGGTAATATACTTCACAGATGGGAGCAGTTTTGTCCAGAATGGAATCAGGTATGCAGGTGCTGAAGTGGTAGCATTGAACTCCATAGCATGGGCCTCTGCTCTGCCACCAGGGACCTCTACCCAATGGGCTGAACCGATTGCCCTGATCCAGGCCCTTCAGATGGCCAGAGGCATAATTGTCAACATTTATATGGACAGCCAAAGAATGGATAAAGAAAATTTGGTACATATACAATAAGGAGTGCTACTCAGCAGTAAAATACAATGACATCATAGAATTTGCACACAAATGGATAGAACTAGAAAATGTCATCCTAAGCGAGGTAACCCAGACTCAGAAATACAAACAGGGTATACACTCACTCATAAGTGGATACTAGATGTAAAACAAAGGATAGCCAGATTAACAACCACAACTCCAGAGAAGCTAGCTAACAAGGAGGACCCTAAGAGGGACACATGGATCACCCTGGGAAGGGGAAATAGATGAGATCTCTTGAGTAAACTGGGGGTGGAGGGGGACAATATAGGGAATGGGATGGTCAAGTTGGAACAGGGATGGAGTGGGAGAGCAATGAAAGAGATACCTTAATCGAGGGAGACATCATGGAGATAGGGAGAAACCTAGTGCTATGGAAGTTCCCAGGAATCTACAAGGATGATCCCAGATTAGACTACTAGCATTAGCAGAGTGGGTGCCTGAGCTGGCTTACCCTAGTAATCAGATTAATGAATAGTCTAACTGTCATCATAGAGCCTTCATCCAGTAATTGATGGAAGCAGATGCAGAGATCCACAGTTAAGTACTATGCCAAGCTCCAG